CTCGCCCTTTCAGCCGTGGGGGCGTTATAATGTGACGGTCAATCCCACTATTCGTTGGTAAAAGAGTAGCCCAAGAGTTGGCGGTGGGTGGTGATGACTAGCTGCCTTCCCTCTAGTCTTACACTGCTAAATTAGGGACGGCTAGTGCAGATAGCTTTGCGCGAAATTCCAAAACAAACAAACAATATATAAATAAGTTATAAGAAAACGTTACCCACAATACAGCCGCACACATGTATCATTAGTAAGAATAAAACCAAAAGGGTTTAATAAAACTATTTTACAACGAAAACTCAGATATATTTCGCCAGTCCAATTAAAGATTATGAGCGTATAAGAATCTTACATGTTTAACCATAATCTTTTTCTTCCATGTTTCTAGACTAAACAAAAACTGGCTATAATTTCGAATCTCGCTGTAAATAGTTCTTCAGTATTATAAATCAGCACTCTGATATGTTTTTTTACTAGTTATTCACTTACTCTCTATTATTTTGTTTGGCGTTGCATAAATCTTTTCTGTTGACTTCTACCATAAATTATTAGGCCTTGGAGATCCAAGCGGTCAAGCTGTGACATAAAATATAAAACCGCTTCCAATTAAAAGCTGACGGTTAACGATGCTAAACCTCGATAAGCATAATAGCCTTTGGGGTTACATGGAGTATTGAAAATCGTTCTTTTTTCTTTTTCGTGGTCATTGCTATGATACTAATAAACGCTATCAGTTCGACCGCCGAAGACGAGAAAATGGGACAACAGATAAACATTACGATCGATATCTGATTCGTGTTGAAATTAGTGAAGTGTCAACAAGCATCGAAAAAAAAAATGAAGTTATAATAATAATAAACGGATATTCATATAATAACGTTTTAATTATATGATTCTTAACGCTGTTTTATCTTTTTGATAAGCCTCATCAATGACAAGTTCCTCCGAAGAAGGTATTAGTCGAAACGTAGGATAATTAAGCTTTTTTTTTTTTTGTTCCTGGAGGTTAATTAAGTCTTAACTTGTAAAATTAGTTTTTACTCCTGTATTTTCTACGTTAAATTAAAACTAATGCTAAATATAAAAATATGCTTAAAATCTTAGTACATGACTTTATTTTTTCTTCAAAATGTTTACAGCTCTGCAACTCTTCCATTTTCCATTCGCTACATGGAGGAAAGTAACAAAGTCCACAGCTACATAACCCGATTTGTACTTCCACTCGGGATGACAATTCACATGGATGGCGGATGTTTAGATTTTCCAGTAGAAGTTCTTTTTATTGCTCACTGGAATGGAGTCACTGTTGACATTCCGACATTGATTGTGTTGTGGTATGTAAATTTCGTAATCAAAACCGCAAAACACTTTCCACGTTCGCCAGTTTGTGCAAATTTTCATACCTGAGTATTTTGCGACAAAATGCATAATCTCAGTCAGTTCTTATTGGGTTAGATAGATTTGGAGGGATAACTACTACGCCCACTGGGCGTGGCCAAGCCCCAGGTCCCGTCCTCAGGAAAGCTAAAACGTGAAATCTCCATATAAATCAAAGAAAATACCCAATCTCTATTTATGACTAACTAAGTAACTTGTCAAGACTCGTTCCAATTCCTGAGGGTAAGCGATTAATGAAATACGACTACTCCATAACTACTAATGGATACTCATCTCCAGACACTAGATGGAACGCATGATACTAATTTGTCAAGCACTTGAGCCTAATAGTGAGGCATGTCTGGACATGTTCTACTGACTGAGATTTGGCAGTTAGTTATGTGTGGAGCTGTTTTATAGAGTGAGGGTAAGAAATATTAATATTGATTATTAATAAGGTCATTAATTAGTCTATTGCCTGAGGATAATCATGAAATATAACCAATGAGGTAATTAATCATAGTCTCAGATTAGTTATAAAAGTATGAATGCCAAAGGCTATGACATAATCCAGTATGGATGTTATCCTGGCAGATGTAATGGCGGTGAGCATTATATCCGTAAATAACCCCGACAATATGTCTGCACTGCTGCGCATCTGACCAAAAATTGTTTTATAAAATACACTGGATTTCCATTCAAATGGTCAAGAAGTTTCATTAATGAGTACAAAATTTTATGCATTTGCAAGATTTACAAACATGTACCTTTCTGGAATTCTGCTCACTAGACTGCGTGATGTGTTTAAACCATTCCTTTCTACCGTGGCTGAGTTTACAATAAGTCTATATCTGATTTGCTTTTGATTTTTGCATCTCAGTTCCATTAAAGAATTGTAACAAGGCCCTGATATATCTTTTACGTAAAGCTATTGTTTTTATTTGAACAATTATCATAACTATATTTAATTTGCATCATTCTTTTTGATGTTGCGAAAGTTCATTAACTGTTTTTATTATTCTAACTTTGGATATTAACTGTATCTATAGTTTCTTAAAATCATTTTCTCCATTGTTTTTCCTTCCCTGTGATTCTAACACTTGTTGTTATATACATCGAAGTTTAGTAACATTACAACTAGTATGCTATATTATTGGACAGAAATGAAAAAAAAAATTATACCTGGAAGTTTCTGAAAATTCACAGTTTTTCATTTCTGCATCTCACGTGTCTTAACGTTATGGTTGCCAGAGGTATCAGTAAAGATGAGTTTTTGTAGTGTTTTAAGTGTATACTAGATTTCGTAGTTTAAATTGACTATGATGTATTGTTGTGACGTATTCTATCGCTGAGTTGATCCTTTAGAATTATTTAGTAAAAATAATGCCAAGTTCAGTCCAATTAAGGATAATGAATTAATTTATTTCTTCTATAACGCTTAGTACAAGCTATCCTGTTTGATCTTTGACACAAATTGTAGGCCTGCGTTCCCAAACGATCTCTGTACAGAAATTCCGAGATAATTTTACGCCTAACTTACAAATAAACTTGTATAATTTTCTTGCTTACCGATCGATTAACTTACTATACGCAATAACTTTCACTAAAAACCTGAACACCATATAATTTACTAAATTACAATACTAATTTAGTTAGTACTAACTGATATACTGCTTAGCTTACTAATTGATTAGAACTGAACTAACTGCCTCATCTCTGATTACTCGTATTTATATCGTACTCTTATTTCCACTTATTACACGAAGCTCCATGATTCGTAACTTTCAAAAACAAATTCTTACGTCATGTGCTCTTTGGTAACAAACACTTAAACTGAAACTAAAATATAGCTTACAACAGTATGGATTTGAAGTATTTGTAGTACTTGTTTTGTTAAGGTAAGCCACTACATGAGCCAAATAAGAAACTCGACAATTAATGGTTATACATGGAATCTCAATAATAATTGTTTTGTGTACTGTGTAGTAAATAATAGTTTATAATAATACCAGTTCCTTTGACTTACAATTTTCAGCCTGTTTATTGTGTTATTTTGCATCGCCTCTCCTGGGGTCCCAACCACCCCTGTTCCAGTTGGACTTTTGGTTGCACTGGATATATGTGGTGTGAAGTCACCTGCTTACGTACCTCTCATTCTTAGCATGGAGTGGCTTGTGTAAGTAACACATGGTTATTACTTTACCGTAGCAGTGGTAAACGAAGCTTTCGTTTGTTAAACCTGTATTCCCGACAAAATATTATACGGAAATTCAGACAAAAAAACAACAAAAAGAACAGAATGTTTATTTTTAACTTGTCAAAAATGTAACTAAGGCAAATCACTCTTGTGCTAATTCTAACCAGTGGTATAGGAAGAAGTTACTTAGCTAGACATGTAGATTTTACAATGAGAGATTGAAAGTATAAGGAACTATTACAGGCAGCTCAATCTAGGGGGTCTGGGGATATGCCCCCCAGAAAATTAATATAATATATAGTTGCTATATAAGTCATATACCTAAAAGTGGGGGTGCTACTGCACCCCCGGTTCCGACGTCCCTGCTAACTCTAAAATAATAATAATTAAGTAGTACTTATGCAATTTGACTACTTTTTGGGGCAACAAATTGCATACCCAGCTCTGCCCTCGGTGAAATCCCCACAGATCCGGTGAAAGTCTACAAGTAAAGGTGAGCTCCCAGTCGACAATGAGCTTTCTTTTTAAAGCTCTTGTAATGCACTTTAAATTTCTTACCTTAAAAGTTTTGCAGGTTATTTTAAGGATACTGCACTCCTCCGTTTTTATTTCTCTTGAAAACGTGAAAAACATGCACAAATTGGTTAAAAATGAGCAAAATCTATGCGAGGATTTTCAGTGGCGTTCATTCCCAAAGAAAACTGTTGTAAGACAGGGTAAGTGGATCGGAAGGGAGGAGGTGTAGCAGTCTAGTCGAGAAACTTGGCAGAAATGGTAAAGCAATTGCGTCACTTCTTGTTTAAAACAGCCCATTTCACAGTAGAGATGTGGTCAAGATTTCTGCTGTCTTAATTTTGTACATTTAGTGGATGAAATTTAATAATAATCTTGAATTCTGCTTCTTCGGAAAACTATATTCTAAATCAAGAAGTAAGAAATATCCAAAAAAAAAAATAGTTAATTATGAAATACTTCTCTAATTCAGGCTTAAGAGCTTATTCTAAGCCTAGTATAAATTGGTAGTTAAATGGTGCGAATCAGAAAAGTGTGGGAAACGTAAACACCGGCAATATTTTTATTCTCCACATTGTAGCTGGATATTTTATTACTGTATATTTTAGTTATAATGAGAAACAAGCCAAAATGCTAAAAATTTTATTTACAATCTTTTATTTACAATTTTGTTATGACGCGAGTTTTATTCAAATTCATCTATTTACAATAGCTACTGCAGTAACGATATACGGCTCTAAAGTATTTTTATTTTTCAATATATGGGAAAGTTTTATATGAATTTGGTTTGTTTTTGGACTACTAAGTTGGTATGGCAAGTTTGGTCTGGATCGGTCAACTCATTTAGAAGGAGTTTGTTTGTTTTTGAATTTCGCGCAAAGCTACACGAGGGCTATCTGCGCTAGTCG